GATATACTCTTAATATACTTGATCACAAAAAGACAAAACAACAACAACAAAAGTTGAACATATATATTTTTTTAAATATGATAGTTTTTCGAAAATTTTAATTAAGAAAAATTTTAAAAATTTGGAAAGAGATATTGAAAAAAAAACAATTATCTATTAGTATATGGCTTTACATGTTTTTAATTAATTTATGAAGATAATTTGATGTTAATTAAATGTTTACTTTAAGTTAATATATTGATATCACAATTTTATTTTAAAGAATCAATGCAAAAATTCTAAAATCTAGAGGGAGAAATGTCAATTTTAAGTAAAAATAAGATACTAAAAATGTAAAATTGTTAACACCAAAAGTGACACGTGGCAGCCTCTCAAAGTTTCACTTAGAGGAAACTTTAAAATATTATATTAGATAAGATAGTAAAGTTTCTCAATGTTCGAGCCATGAAAGGCTGCCATGTGTCATCTAACTTTTTGACATTTGTCTTCTTAAATTATTTATTGAAAACAAAAGAAAAATTAAGTGTGTTTTAATAACTTTAACAATTAATTATAACAATTAAATAGCTAATTCTTATGTAAATTAATTATAACAAGTTACAATTAAGCGTTTGGTGTAGTTTTATGTAATTCTTATATAAATTATAATTAATTTTTATGTAAATCAATGTATAGAAATATATATTTTATTTATAAAATCTAATAATATAATATAAAAAAAGATGTAATTTTTTTTGTATTTTATAAAGGTTAATGCGATTTAAAAATAAATATATAATCACAAAAAAATAGCTTTAATAAAAAGAAGCATAATATGAACAAAAAAATGATGTGAGAAAACTAATTAAAAAATGATTTTAGGATTTTTAGGACTGTTAAATCCAACAAATCTAATTGGAGAAATTTAGAATTTAAACGTTTTTAAATGTTTTCATAGCTTTTAAAGTCATATAACATTGTATATTTCCAATAATTTGATACAAATATTTAGTCCACACAAACAAAATCACGAAAGCCAATGAAGTAATCCTCTTCACTGAATCTCTCTAGTCTACACACTCGCTGCAACGAACCACTTCAGAATTTCCTCCAAATGCAGGATATTCTCGGATCGGTTCGCTGATCATTGGTTTTCCGGTCGTCTTTGGCCGGAGACGATTAAATTATAATACTAAATATTTGTATCAAATTATTGGAAATATACAATGTTATATGACTTTAAAAGCTATGAAAGCATTTAAAAACGTTTAAATTCTAAATTTCTTCAATTAGATTTGTTAGATTTAACAGTCCTAAAAATCATAAAATCCTTTTTTAATTAGTTTTCTCACATCATTTTTTTGTTCATATTATGCTTCTCTTTATTAAAGCTATTCTTTTGTGATTTTATATTTATTTTTAAATCGCATTAACCTTTATAAAATACAAAACAAATTACATGTTTTTTGTATATTATATTATTGGATTTCATAAATAAAATATCTATTTTCTATACATTGATTTACATAAAAATTATATTATAATTTATATAAGAATTACATAAATCTACACCAAACACTTAATTGTAATTTGTTATAATTAATTTACATAAATAATTAATTGTTTAAGTTATTAAAACACACTTAATTTTTCTTTTATTTTCAATAAATAATTTAAGAAGACAAATTTCAAAAAGCTAGATGGCACATGGCAGCCTCTCATGGCTTAAACATTGAGAAATCTTACTATATTATATAACAATTATTTTAGTTAGTGCTCCCCAAATTGTGGAATTTACGGAAACTAGCTAAAATATATCATGGTTTGTATAATAAGTAATTTTAAAAAATAAAATAAAATCAAAATCTACTAAGACATTTAAACTTTGTCATATTCCGATTTTTTTTAATTACTAATTCCCTAATTGGATAATAATATCACTATATTCGCTGGTTATATTCTCGATTGATTATTTATTAACAA